CACAGTTTTAAATTTCAGTGTCTTAATCTTAGTCTTAAATTTCAATGTGTTTCTCTTAGGTTTAAATTTTAATGTATTAGTCCTAGTCTTAAATTTTAATATGTGGGTCTGAGTCATAAAATTCAATGTGTGAATTTGAGTTGTAAATTTCAGTGTGTGAGTCTTAGTCTTAAATTTCACTGCAGTCGTAAACTGCAATATGTAAGTCTGTGTCTTAAAATTCAATCTGTGAGTTTGAGTCTTAAATTTCAATGTGTGAGTCTTAGTCTTAAATTTCAATATGTTGGTCTTAGTTTTAATTTCAATATGTGAGTCTTAGCATTAATTTCAATGTGTGAATCTTATTCTTAAATTTCAATGTATTAGTCCTAGTCTTAAATTTCAATGTGTGAGACTTAGTCTTAAATTTCAATGTCTGAATCTTAGTCTAGTAAAACACTACAGCTTTGAATCATCAAAAAGAAGGGCAAGAACTAAATTCAGAATAGTGGAATACGGTTTCGCTTCAGGACATGAGCGAACAATAACTCTCCACAACTTCACATCCCTTATAGCTCTTAGTAACGACTATTTCATCTTGTTTTCAGTATATTTTGTGGGCATCAAATTCTTCAAGCAATCTTTCCTTATTATATACCCAGTATTAGAACTCAGATTAGAACGAGCAAACGTATCTATCCGTGGTGCAGAATTAATTTCAACTCAGAAGTAATTTCAATTTCGAACTAATTTCAACTCGGAAATAATTTCCACTCAGAACTAATTTCAGCTCGGAACTAATTTCAACTCGTAACTAATTTCAACTCGGAATTAATTTCAACTCGGACCTAATTTCAACTCGGACCTAATTTCAATTTGGAAATAGTTTCACCTCAGAACTAATTTCAACTCGAAATTAATTTCAACTCGGAAATAATTTCAACTCACAACTAATTTCAATGCGGAACTAATTTCAACTCCAAATAAATTTCAACTCGGAATTAATTTCAACTCGGAATTAATTAATGAAAGTTGTGGAGAAAATGAACTCTGACTTATCTACTAATGGTTTTTAATGCAAAATTTAAAATAATACACCAACTCATTGCATTTTGTTTAGGAATTCATGGAAATTGATAGCTTCGATATTAAATCGAGTTGAAATTAGTTCCGAGTTGAAATTAGTACCGAGTTGAAATTAGTTCTGTCACTCATCTATACTGGTAGCATCAGTGGGGAGAAAATGTATATGGTCTATTGTTTATATCAGGCGCCCTAAAGACATTTACAATACCCATCAAACTGTTGTGTATCAAGAAAAGCGAAATAAATATTTCTTTATATCTTCAGGGTGTTGAGGATCGTCACTCTCCGCAATATCTTGTCCTTTGGAGCTCTTAATAAATTTTAGCTTATTATTGTCTCTCTTAAACCTCATCGAGCTATCAATTTACCCAAGCTCGCTAGTTAGGTAATGTGTTGTTTTCTTCTGTTCCTCGTGCTGTTAGTCGGTCCTGTGAGTATCAGATTTTCCAAGTTCTCTTTCCTCATTATGTGGTCTGGCAATTTCAACAGTCTCTTCCTGATGTTAAGTATATATGCCCTTTATATTTTCATTTTCTCTAAAACTTCGTCATTGCTCACATGTTCGGTTCCTGACATTCTCAGCATCCTGCTGTAGAACCACATTTCTGTTACTTCAAGTCTTTTCTTCATCTAGGAGGAGATTTCCAGCATTTACTGGCGTATACGGTACTCTTTTTTTTGCTTCCAATGAGATTTTCCTGTTTTTTAATACCTTAGCTTTTGAATGCATCTTTCGCTATCTCAATGCGCCTTCGGATTTCTGTATATATATATATATATATATATATATATATATATATATATATATATATATATATATGAACAATAAGAAAATAAAAAATTAAAATCTTTAGACACACTGGGTTGTATAATATACTTTCGTTTTTTTTTATTATTATTCCATTTAGATTCCTCGACTAGTTTCGACCGAAATAGCCATCATCGGGAGGAGAAATATTTCTGCTTGCTGGTAGCAGTGAACTACAGAAATGAATGTCTTGATGGAGAAAATGAACTTTTGACTGTAGTTTTCATTTGTTTTTTTTTATTTTTTTTAAAATAAGGCACGGTGGCACGGTGGGTAGCGACTTGGATTGAGGAATGAGAGAGCCGAGTTCGAATTCCAGTCGAATCCATTACATTCACTTACGTGCTACTACCCTTGGTAAAGGTATGAATCCTCTTCCTCTCCCTCCAGCTATGGGTAAAATAGCAGGACAGACTGGGTTCTATAGCCTTGGATGGCAACTGGTCTAGGAGAAGGACAACTCTGAATTCAAAACCTGCGGAGGGTCGTTTGGGGACCTTGTGGCACAGTGCACCAGGTCTCTGTATTCGTCCCTTCAAAAAGTGTGGATGGTCCTGCACGAAGTCTTCACCACTATAATCAAATCTCATGTGCCGGTGTCGGGCTGTCGGTTTCCTGGAAACTGATCTGCTTGACCCTCATACGTCGAATATCGACGGGAGAGTCGATGATATATATATATATATATATATATATATATATATATATTATGTTGTTAAGATTGTGGCCGCCAATAATGAAACATGGTATGACTGCTCATTCTATCAGAACCAGACTAGATGTCGCAGCAATATTAAAAATATTGACGAACGATAGACTTATAAATGTGTAAGATATTAATTGCTTCTAACCAATTAGTTAATCATTTCACCCAAGCAAGGTAACAAAGCCACTAAGGCGCAAAGTATTACTGAGTGTGAAAGCGTTGTAATGGAATGCCTGACACTTCCTATCGCCTATGTGAACTGACTATATCATTACCTATATATAGTGAGTAAAGGATATACCTACGGGCTTGCTTCGGCAATTAGTTGGAGATTCGTCTTCAGCTAAGCTAGTCAAACTCTCTGCCTTCGGGCGGAGAGGAACCCAGACGAGGCTATACCGAAGGGCAGAGCCTCGTCTGCGGTAGTAGACAGCTACCCGACCCCGTGTACACGGGGTCTACAGGGAATTTTTGCCCGAGCCCACGGGCTCGGTTTTGGCCCGCATAAAAAAGGGC